AGTCAGAGGGTTATCAAGCCCTGGCACAGGTTGCCCAGAGAGATTGTGGAGTCTCTCTCTTGGACATATTCAAAAGTTGTCTGGGCGCAGTCCTGGAAAGACTGCTCTAGGCTGACCTGCTTGAGTGTGAAGGGCTTGGATCAGATGACTTCCAGAGGTCCATTCCCACCTCAAATATTCTGTGCGATTTTGTGATACAGAGGTTGCAATTTTTTTACTAATGGTAGACATGTCACCGAGCATTCAGACACAAAGCTGTTGCCTCTCTGGGGAAATTGTACAACATTTATAAATTTGTGAGTTGAAAGAAGCACTGAGAAGACATCTTCTCAGGGCATATAGTTTAGCATGTATATTTATACGCTCTTATTGTCTAATACAAGTTCTGGAAGACAGTGAGCTGTTATATGTGGCTTTGTCATCTTTTGCACACAGAATCATAGTTAGATACAGATATTAAAGTTGTTTTCCTCCAACTACTACACAGTGATGTGAACTGCCTCTGCACTCTCACACTGCAGCACCCATACCAGATACATTCCTGTACCAGAGCAAGTGCAACCAGCACTGAATGAAGGCTAAATTCTTTATCTTAGAATTCTTTAATGGTTTTGGCCTCAATGGTCTCTACAGTACCAGAGAAAGAGTTTCAGACTAAAACCATAAGCAGCAGCTCTGTTATTTTTGCTAGTATCTTCATTTCACCATTTAAGCAAAAGACAGAACTTTCTCTCAAGGCCAAATATAAATGAAATTAATTCCGACATTAAATAAAGAACATCTCAGTCCTTGCAGATTTGTGCCCCAAGTTCAAGATGTTTTCAGCTTTGAATTGTCTGCACATCAAGAGAGTACATGTCCAAGAGTGAAAGAGCATTTAGAAACAGCTCAGAAACTGAATACTTATCATTATCCTTATCCTGACAGTCTAGCTACATGTCCCATTCTTCATCTGCAAAGAAGGTGGAAGAACAATAGCCCTTATTATAGGGCTAGAGGTGCTCACATTAGGATCATAGAAGAGTTTAATAGAACAGAACACCCCTGCATGGAAACCAACACCATCTCTATTGGTGCCATAAATGTCGCTGTAACAACTCGATGTCAAGTGAAAATGTACCTTTGTCTACCATATCAAAAAGGTAGGGGATATGTTTCTCTGGCAGAGATTTAAAAAATAATATGTTCTTCTACAACCTTGTGGGTAAATAGACCATCTATCTACTTCCTGCCAAAATCCTGCCTCAGTCCACTTTGAGGAACAAATGTCTGGGAGCATTCCTGGCCCTGGCATGCTGTGACCCATGTCATTACACATGTAAGAGGTTGGCCTGCTCTAGCCACCACTCTCCCCTCACAGTTCCCACTCACAGTTTTAATCAAGTGAACAATCACAGGGATTATTCCCACTGGATGGCTTGAAAGCACCAGCATGATTTGGAGGCTGTGACCATCATCAGAAACATGAGTTGTTCTGACCCTGTTGACCTCAGTATCCAGCTCCCTTGGCATGCTTAATTTATGTGTACAGATGAAGTCATATCCATCTTGCAAGAATATCATGCAGACTCACAGTGACCACACTATCCAGTCACCAATTTGGCTGCCAGGAGTGTTTTTTCCTATACTTGTGATATTACAACTTCATTATATTCTGCAGAAAATAATATATTTTTCTGGCTATGTTTTGTGCTTGGTAGTGTATGTGATAAGCTATTCCCCACTGATAACGTTACCTTAGGCAGGTATGCTTAATGCTTTTTACTTCACTATGGAAAAATTCAATACTCTTAATCTCCCTGTATCACATCTTTGCCTGGATTTACAGTGTAGTGAAAACCAGTCTCCCTTAACTTAAAGAAATGTTTAACATCTTCAACTCCTGATCACTTAAATAGCCACCCAGAATCAGGATGAGATACAAAGTTACTGTTCCACCAATAAAAGATTTTCTTTTAGAAAGAACTATAAAGCAGATACAAAAAGAGCTTTACTGTATTAGAATTAAATAAATGAATGCCAAGCCTATTCTCTGCAGAAGGGTCTAATGTAGTCACAGCTGCAGAATTCTGTGCATATAAAAATCTTTATACCAGTTAAAAAAAAAAAAGTCACCTTTCAAAAATGCTGCTAGTGAGTTATATATCTCGACAGGTATCCAATATTTACCCCTGGAGGGATTTCTTCTTACAGAGGCTCTAATTCCCTACCAAATGGAAGTGTTCACATTCCCAGTCATTTGGACAAGGGTTAGCATGATAAAATGATTTGTTATGCCAATAAAGTTTTTTGTTACACTGTAAAATGGTTTGTTATGTGACTACTGCTATATAAAAATGTTATGAAAATTAAGTAGGTTGTAAGATCCAAAAAGGAATAGGCTGCTTTTGGGACTACCTACTAGGAAAAGGAAAAAAAGAATGATCTTCTGAACTACAGTCCTTCATTACTTCAAAAAGACAACTTAAATGACCTTTTAACTAACAGTTGATATTGGTACCCCAGTTAGGAAAGCAGTTACGTATCCAAAATGGATATGAACTTCCTCAGGTCAACAGTGCTCAGAAAATGGGAGGAAAGTGAAATAAATTTATTAATCTAGGTGGTGACTTCTGTCCTGTGTGACAGTAAATGAAACAAGCCTAAGTTACAATTCAGAATGGAAACTGAAATACAGACTCATGGTATGTTCATTATAACATGTCACAGATGGGATAGCAAGACCAGTGAAACTGGAGGAAAACCTTCCTTTGTGTACAGTATTTTAATTTTAATACTGTGTATATCAGCTAAAACAGTATCTGAAACTGGCAACTATTTAATTCACAGTCATGCCTTATAAGTTCCTGGCACATTTTGAATTTGCAATGAATTGTATCCAGAATGGCAATCAGTCACTCCTTCAGAATGGGAAGGCCAGTTACTTCTTATGATTTATAATTATTACATAATTTCTACACTTTTTGAATTTTAATATTTCTCTTCGTTTGTATATATTAATCAGGTTTATTCTATTGCTATAATGTCAGTATTTATGTTCCTGTCATTTAACCAGAACTCTACTGCACCATTTATTGCAGAAGAAAACAGTTCCTGATTTCAACAACCAGATGTATTTCCACCAAACACTCAATTTGTTCATAATCACAAAAATGCTGGAAAAAAATTTTAAGATAATACATCTTTTCTTATAGAAGTGAGGGAGTATTTAAAATATTTCTGTTCTCCTTTTAAACTAATGACACTTCAATTTCCCTTCTGCAGACTCACTGATGCAGAGTGAACGACACTGCATTGCCAGGAAAAGTTGCTGCAAATGAGGAACTCAAGGGAGAAGCAACCTGCTTTCAGTATCAGGCTCCCCCAAAAGTATGGAAGAAGAATTCAGTTAAATTTCCGCAGATACAGTGTACAAAATTCATCTAGAAGGCACACTTTCACAGAAACTTTATGATTTATATTGGTATACACAGGGCTGGGTTGCAAAACAAGTAATTTTGTCTTCATTGGAAAAGATCCTGACTCAAAATCTTCTCCTGCCTGACTGAAGGGCTGTCAGGAGAAGGCTTGTGTGGGTGCTTGTGAGGTCACTGATGCCTGGGAAGCTGACCAGGAGCAGACACTTTCTTTTATAGGCAGATGTGATATCAGTGATGTGTAAACCAAGTGCACTAATTCAGACCTGGATTTTCAAGTGTAATTTCATTAATCACAGATGTACAAGTTAATCCAAATTTGATTAAAAGTAGTGGCAAAGAAAAAGCACTTGATATCTTACAAAAGGCATGTAGTACTGCAGAGAAATTATCTTGAACTTTTGGACAGTATAACAGATATAAGAACATATACTGATTATTTTTTTCTTTTGAAAGAGAAATGTCCTTATCTTGAAAAAATGCAAAAATTAAAATTTGAAAATAATTTTAAACTAATGAATGAGATTTATTCTGAAGATTCCTTTTACTTTGCAAGTGGTAGTATTTACCAATCAGTTAGTAAAACAGCTTGAAGTACTGAACAGACCAGGAATATCTATCCTTTCTAATTGCTCAGATGTAGTTCTTGACTAGTAGGTGTGGACTGTAGCCTTCATCTCTTTTTCCACTGTCTGACAAGCACTAATAGCCACAGTTAGGATGAGCACTTATGTTCTCAAATCACAAACATTTATGTTCTCAGAATAGGTCTGGGCATCTGGGGTGATCGATCCTATGTGCAATAACTTGGGGTTAGCCTGTTGCAATGTACTACACACAGCTATGTAGAGAAAGAGCTGTCTCCTACCACCTAGGAGATCACACACAGCTCATGGCAAACAACTTGTTAATCACAAGCACAATAGATTGAGGAAAGACTTTGGTTTTTGCTCCCAAAGCAACATATGCCCCAGCACTTCCCTGCATCGCAGGCTTTTTATAACGACTTATAGCATTTTTTGTTTTGGCATTGCAACAATTGTGGACCTTGGAAGCAGAGTAATCTGATAACACAGAGTTCCAAGAAGGAGCAAATAACATGAGAATGTGTACTTTAATTCCTAATATTTCTCTGACCTTTTTCAAATATTACATCCATATCTCACTTTGGGAAGAAACTTAGCCATGTATCATGTAAAATATATTTACATTCAGGGCTGAATAAATGCCATCATTGACTGTGAACTTCAGAGAGATTTAGGCAAATTAACTTTGGTCAAGTCTGCTCTCCTTTGCTGTACACGTCTTAATGAATGAGAGCCAAGAACTCGAGTTAATTTTCACCTGTCCCAGCAGAGGCCAGAATGGGGACTATGCCTATACTGAGGTTGACAAGATATAGGGAAAGAAAAGAGCAGTGCATATGTTAACAACATGTATATAATTCTCTCATTCAAAATACAATCAAAAAATCTGTGCTGCTATACATCAGCTACTACATCCCCCTTCTAGGACACGCAACAGCAGCAGGCTGCATGTGAAAGGACTGACGGGATCCCAGTGCAAAAAGAAACATGAACTTACAGAGAGGAGTATTTGGATAGCACTGTGAATGACCTCTAGGTACTGGAAATCAATGATGCAGCCTGTCACGGAGACGTAGGAGTAATCCTCTAGGACACCAGGGGCAGAAGGACGAACCACCCTTCGTATGCAGCCGGGTCCGTGTTCCCGCCACCAAGAGCGGTGCATTGAGATGTTAAAGGTCATGAGATCCGTTTCCTAGGAGAGGGAGGGAAAAAGTGTGAAAACCTCTGACTTTCTTTACTTTCTTCAAGGTAAAGAAAGGGGAAATAAGAGATCTTTTCCATCATTATAAGGACAACAAGATAACTAATTTGCCTTAACCCTCATGCCAGTAATTTTAGCATGTAAGGAGAATGTTAAAGTGGAGAAAGGAAATTGCAAACATACATTGATTATATTGCAGTTACACAGAGGATTTCCTGCCTGGTAGAACTGTCATGCCAGATACTGTAAAAACACAGTGTATAGCCTATGTTCCCACGGACTTACAGCCTGAAAAGCAAATTTTGTTGTTACTTGACTAGAATGTCACTTAAGGACTAATTTTTTTTTTAACAGGCAACAGAGACAGTTTTACCCCATGGTTCTGGAAACAATCTAAATCAAACTTCAATCGTATTTATTTAAAATATTATCTATAGATCATATCTACTATTTTAAGTAGGACCACAGGCAGCCAGGCTGTTCCAGTTGCTAAAGGTTCAAATGAAAAGATACCTCCATTCAAGCACCCTCCTCTCTTTTCTCCCCTCTGCCCACCATCCATATTACCATCTTCTCGGTTTAGTGAAGAAATCTGCTACTGGGAACAGATCTGGGTTTAAAATAAACGCAATAACTTTTCTTCATTCAAATCATCTTCCTGATCAGATATGGAATCTACTCTGATGGGTACTGGCTGCACTGTGACCCACACAGCATGTATAATGTCTGTGCACTTTAATAAACTTCATCCCACTTCCACTTGGAGTAATGAAAATGGCAAATACACTAGTGTACTAAAATTTTTCTAACAGTTTGTTTATGAAATACAAACAGGAAAATTCACTTGATTAACAATAGGTTAATCTTTAGGTCCTGCTTAGGCAAAATACACTGAAGTTGAACAGATGTCATTTAAATGCAAAAAACCCTCCAAAACAAACCACTACTCCTCACTGGAGATAAATGAGAGTTGAGTTACATCGATAATTAAATAATTAATTCAGATTCATGTTTCCATATTTCCTATTCTCAACTCCAAGGCAGCTGCAAAAAATGTGTGCAAAATTGTCATCCAGATGCCCAAAAAATACCGCTGGCTTACATATATATCCTCTTGTCAGCACTGTCATGACCCTGATTTGCCCTTTGCATCCCACTCCAGAAATCTGTCCTGTCAGTCTGTCTTACTTTCACCCTGACCAAAGGGCTGTTTGGTGCAGATTCCAGTTGCAGAATTGTTCTCTTCTCTTAATTGCCTCTATTCTGGCCTCACCTGAAAACTACCTTCACCCAGTGTATGTTGCTGCTAGTTAGCAGTAAGAAATCTGCCTTTGTAATCTTCTGTTTTACTCTCCATAAGTTTTTTACCCTTTAAATGTAGACTTGCTGGAACATTATCTCCAGTTGATGAGGCATTTCTCTTTTTGCATGTCAATCCTTGATACTAGTTTAGAAAATTTTCAGCTGCAGCCTGAAAACAAGCTGTGAAATCAGATGCTAACAGACACCTCAGTTTAATAAAAATAAAATTTTAAATATGGAGTCATAGGAAACAACTGAGGCTTTCTTTGTACCACAAGACCAGAGATTGCACACTGGTATTAAGTGTTTTTAACAATTGTCAGGTCTAAGAAATGCCAGTTGTCAGGCAGCACACACATATTCACCCTCATGTATTTCAGTAGCTCTTTGTTGAGTAGGAACACAGATTAATGGGTTACTGTATATTAAGTATTGCAAGGTAATGCTTCGTTATTACAGCTGTGGGAATAAATTGTGATGTCCATGGCATTGGTGTCACAGCTTTCTTTGCCTTTGAGAGTTTTTTAATCCCTTTCATATTTTTTTGTCTTTGAGTTTTTATTGTTATACTCTGTTTCAGTGTTTGTGCTTGGCTAGTTCACAGCACACGACACCAAAAAAGGGCAAATTTACATAGAGAAACAGCTTGAAAAATGTTGCTGATGCATTTAAAATGTAAGGATTTGTCATGTGATTAGTAGAAACAGTTTATTAATAAAATTTTTCATTTCCGGAATACTGGTATGTTTGGTTCTTGGAGTGATTAAAACAAAATGCTTCACTTGATGGGCATGTTTAGAGATACTTAACTAGATGGTTATGTTCATATTTCAAGGCTGCTGGATTCAGGTAGAAAGTAAGCAGCAAAAAACCCCAAAGAGATGTCATCACAGCACTTTCTGTTTTTTAAAAAATAAAATATTGTTCCGAAGTTATGAATAAATGTTGTAAGAAGAGATTTTCACAGTTGCTTTTCACTGTGTATATTACATTCTGAGCTGTGAAAGCAGGTAAAAGGAGATAATGATGGTCAAGCAAAGACCAGTTTTAGAAATGCAAACAAAACGGTGCATTAGGTTGACCTCTAAAATACCAATTCACAAAATGGCAACCATAAACTATTCTAGCTGATAAATGTTAAGCTGTCAATCAATAAACGAAAGTCTGACCAAAAAAAAAAATCAATTTTTTTTTTTTTTTGGGCAGCTGAAACATACTCCTCTCTAACTACTTGGAAATTCTTAATGCATAAAGTGAGTCAAATGCACCAGGCATTAAAGAAATTAACCTGTATCTTTATAGTAATTTACAAACAAATAGAAAATTCAAGATTCTTTGGCAGGGTGTACAGGTTTTAATATCAGTGAACTTCTGAGAGTGTTTCAGTATTTGTGAATTCACAGCTTGGGAACCCTGAGAATGGTGGAAAAGCTACTGCCTAAATGGCTCATTTTCAGTCTAAGTTAAGAAAATACATTCAGGTGCTTGAAGTTTTTCAATAGATCATCTGTTAATCTTCCAATGTCACAAGCAAACATGAAGTAAATGTGCAAAATATTTAATCTTCAACAAGTGATGTAATGTAAACTGCTTATTTATTAAAAAAAGTGCTGCTGCTTCACAGCAAGAGACTCAGTTTCAAACTCTGTTCAAAAGAAACCAAGTAGCCTTTCTGACTAATCTAGTTGAGATTCATTTAACAGTTGAAATTTCAATGGAAAATTGCTGTCTTCTGAGCATATATCTTGGTTTTATCTCCATGCATCAGCAGATAAATTATACCTCCTCAGCTGGTAATCTCTCAGACAGATGCCATAAACAAAGAGGGGCAGAACACAGACAACAGGACTTCCAGGAAAATCATGTGGGACTTAGGGAGGTGATACAGGGAAAGGGAAGCCTTGTTTCCTATTCCTTCCTTTATTCAGCCAGCACTAAAGCAATAGTCCAATCTGTGCAAAGTTCACTCCTGAGTATAGGATCAGCTCTGTAATCACACTTCTACTAAGGCAGAGTCCCACTTAACTGTCTATTTAAGCTTTTAAACTATGTATAGGATTTGTGTTGGCTGTCAGCCCAAGGATTAATTTTGATCATTATTGGAAATCATTGCTGTGGCAGGTACTTTCTCTTAGGTGAGATGTAATCCCTGTAAGTCCCAGTAATACTGTTTCTAAGTGCTTGGAGATAATGTTTAATTTCATTATATCTGCTTATTTTCTACATTTGGTTTCAAGTGGACATTTTCTATTGGTCAGGGCTTTGAGCAACCTGATCTGGTAAAAGATGTCCCCACCTGTGGTGGAGAGGCTGTCTAGGTGATCTTTGAAGGTCCCTTCTGACCCAAATAATTCTGTGATTTTCTGCTTCAATCCTTAGGTGGTGAATCTGGATAAATTTTAAGAGATCATAGTATAACACAGTTTATTATAAAACTAAAGAACAATAGCAAGGCTGATGTTCCATTTATTTGTATATACTTTATGCACAGTGTCAACAACAGCAAAACAAAAAATTAATGAGAAATTAAGACTAACTGAAATCACCAGTTTTAAAGAAAAAACAAAAGAAGACATTAAAGCTCTAGGGAAAAAACCCAATGCACCAAGATTACCTTATATACCAAATAGATAATATGCTGTGACATGATTACCATTTTTTTTTCATTGTATGTTTCTGCTTCATGACATGCTATTTTATATTTCTTTCATTCCTTGTTAGTATCTGAAAAGTATAATCTTAGGAAAACTGTAAAAAAACTATAAGTGTTTTGAGTAGGATGGAGGAAAAGCACGTTTTTCCTTCACAAGAAGGCAAGTCATACATTCCATCTCCTCTCACTACTTCTAAACAAACAGGTTTTCAGGGTCTGGGCAGATAATACTGAAGAAGTCCATGGCCATTCCCATTTCCAAACTTAGACATTTGTGTCATTAGCTCCCATATTACCTTGATTGGGATGACTATTTTTGAATATTAACTTTTTTTTTTCCTGTTTATTCTTAATTTAAACTCTTGCCTCAGTGTTACACCGATGGCTTTTATTTACCCCATGAGCTATAGGTCAAAGGTAGCCCACTCAATAATTGTGGCATTCCTGCAAATGGGATAAAACAACGAACCACGCTGATTCCAGGCTGCTTAAGATATAATTCAGTCAATATCTTGACCTCATTATGAGCACTGTGGTGAACAAATGATATGAAGAGCATTCTTAAATTGAAGCTTATAGGTTGACTCTATTAGGACTATTCAGCTGCCTGAACTGGATGTCAGACTAGACATAGCAAATTCACTCCTGTGGTAGCAAACCCAGTGTACACTAAACCAAAGAAAGTATGTAATACACCTAAATTAATTAGCACTTAAAGAGAAAACTTGCAGTAATAAGATCTTCAGACACAGGCTATGCAGAAGCAATCCCAGCGTCATGGCCTGAGAGTGATTGAGAGGTACAGAGGCAAAGTAATTTTGGGTGGTAGAATTAGAGGTTCGTGGTTCCCACTTACTGAGATTAGAGGTTTACAAACAGAGCAAATCCTGTAAACATGACATCAGATCATGACTACAGGAAAAGATTTCCATATCAAGCATAATTACTGTTGGAAAGTTACATTGATTTACTCTATTGTCTTTCCAATCAATCTATACTACAGCACTTCTTATCCATTTGGCTACAGGCCACCCTC